AGAAACACTCCTGGGTTGAGATAAGAACAGTTTAATAATTGAAATAAAGTAAAATAGTAATGATAATAATAACAATATAATAATGATAATAACAATAGTATACGAAGCAAGTGATGCACAATGCAATTGCTCACCACCCGCCGACCGATACCCAGACAGTTCCCGAGCAGCGATCGCTGCTCCCCGGCCAACCCCCCCAGTTTATATACTGAGCATGATGTCACATGGTATGGAATAGCCCTTTGGTCAGTTTGGATCAACTATTCTGCTGTGCCCCTCCCAGTTTCTTGTGTACCTGGCAGAGCATGGGAAGCTGAAAAGTCCTTGACTAGCATAAGCAGTAGTTAGCAACAACTAAAAACATCAGTGTGTTATCAGCATTCTTCTCCTACTAAATCCAAAACACAGCACTATGCCTGCCCCTAGGAAGAAAATTAACTCTATTCCAGCCAAAACCAGGACACATCCCTCTGTGGGATCGTCCGTTTCCTCTCGGCACCCCCTCAGCACCGGCAGTGCCCTTCCTGCCTGCTCCTGCTATGTGTGGTTTCTTTGGGCAGCTGCAGCATGAGTCGGTGATGGTGCAGCAGCACCAGGCATTGCCACTCGTGGCGTCAGTGGCTTTTTCTGACCATCTGCCACCATCTCAGCCTCTGCTTAGAGCCAAGACCAGGCTGAGCAGCTCCTCCCATGGCAGCGCTGATGCCAGTTGCCTCCTTCTTCTTCTGCAGGTGGTGGTGCAGCTCACCGATGACCTCCTGTCCCAGGCAGTGATGATGGTGGAGGACAGCCGGCCGACGCTGGCCATCAACCTGGCTGGAGCCCGGCAGCACTGGCTGGAGGGGATGCTGCGCCATGAGATAGGTCAGTGGGGCGATGGCAGGGCAGAACGAGGCAATGCTGTGAGCATCCTCTGGTTGTCACCGGGGTAACAGCCTGGGGGCTGTGGGGACCACAGGGCAAGGTGATACCCATGGGGTCCTGCAAGGAGGCATCTTAGAGGGGTGCTCCTGGGCAGGTTTTGGAAGGGGCTGAGGCCACCTGGGTCCCTCTCTGCATGTGGGGCAAGGGGTGTCGGGCATCCACCTATGCACTTGTGTGCCTGCACCCCTGCCTGGGGCATCAGAGCAAGCAAATGTCCCATGGCAGCATCTCCAGCCAAGACTGGAGCTGGCACCCATGGATGCTGGGTCTCAGCCCCAACCCCAGTGACTCGGGGGGCAGGGGGTCAAGCTTTTTGGAGGCTGTGGCCAACAGCGCTCACTCCCATCCCTCCTCCCCAGGCACCCACTACATTCGGGGGGTGAACAACACCCGCCAGCCCTGGCACAGCTCTGAGGGCCGCAAGCAGTACAGCCTGAAGCCCGCCAACCCCACGGAGGAAGGCTTGGCCAGCCTGCACAGCGTCCTCTTCCGCAAGCAGCCCTTCCTGTGGCGGGGAAAAAACCCCTTGGGGGGGGCCGCCCGCCTCTCCTTCTCCGCCCTCTTCCAGGACCTGGAGCAGTATGTCCAGGATGCTGGTGTCCGGTGGGAGTATTGCGTGCGGGCAAAGCGGGGCCAGACGGACACCTCGCAGCCAGGTACCGCTTGGGGGGGTGAAAAGTCTTTGAGTTTGGGAAAGGTGAGGGGGTTTTGTGGGTTTGGTGTTTTTTTTTTTTTTTTTTTTAAAAAGAAATACCAGAGGCAGGTATGTTTGGCTGCTGGGTGAGTTGAGCATCACTGACCCCATTGCCACAGCAGCTTTTGAAATGGTGGCCTTGCCCTGCATCCCTCCCCATCCCTGGCACTGTTCTCCTATGGATTTACACTTGTCTTTATGGCAGTGATCTTTTGTATGCAGTCTTGGCACATCAGCTGTTCGGCTGCTCAGGGTCAAGTGTGGATGGATACCCCCACACACATGGGGAGACCCATAAGGTGGTTGCGGGCTGATGGGAGTGAGTCACACAAGCTCCTGGGAAGGCAGCATCCAAAGGACAGGAAAAAAATTAGCATTTCTGGGGCTGCATTTAGGTTCTTGCAGTGGTTTAACATTTAAAAAAAAAAAAAAAAAAAATCCAGTGGGAGGAAGGGTGAAAGCATCCCAGTGAGAGGTTTGTCGTCCCCTCTGCCAGGACTCTTCTGCACCCATCTGCCTCTGCAGCTCCCAGCACTGGTCCCCAGTGCCTCGGGTCACTCATCCTTGGGGATGCAACAGTCCTGGCTGCAGCACCAGCAAGGCCTGAGCCCTGGCACACTCGTGTTGCCCCCATCCAGTGCCATCACTGATTATCGCAGTCAGCAGACATTTGGGTGAGCAGAGGGTGGTAGGGAGCCAGGCTCCCACTACCAGCATCT